CTGGACTGGAGGTGTCCAGAAGCTTTATGCAAGAGAACCAGCATGCATTAGGCTGATGATGGATAATATTCCATCGCTTCTGTGCCAGCTGGAAACAGGATGCCAGATGTTTCTGATCTCTACCCTGCAGACAGGGTAACCTAGGAGAGCACCTTTTTGCCTGAAGAACACCGAAAACATGTTACACAATGAAGGTAACAAAGATGCTCAGTCAGTGACTGGTAACGATGGCAGTAGCCATGATGAATGAAAATGATGAAAAATGATGACTCACTGAAACAAATCGAATATTTCATGCCATTACTGTATGTCTATATTTTATCTCCAGGTTTGAAGATCAGGAGACTAGAAGAATTATCATATTTACCAGTACTGTAAATGCTTAGGGGCTTCCCGGGTATCTCAACCGGTAAAGAATCCACCTGCAACGCAGGAGACCCCAGTTCTATTCCTGGGTCAGGAAGATCTGCTGGAGAAGGGATAGGCTCCCCACTCCAGTATTCTTGGGCTTCCCTGGTGGCTCAGCTGGGAAAGAATTCTCCTGCAAGGTGGGAGACCTGGGTTCTATTCTTGGCTTAGAGAAAATATTAGTTTACCATGCCCATAATTTCTGTAAGTGCCTCCAGCTGAGTGCTGGTGAATAGGCCATGAGCACATAAGCCACACTTTATTACTCCAGCGCCAAAGAGTAAGAAATTTGGACATATGTAGGAATCAATTACAGGAAGAAAAAAAAAAATCACACTGTTGAACATATTTTTCCTTGACATAGAATTAATAGAGTATGATAAATTTCTAAATGCATCTCTAACATGCTAGCTCTGTGTGTAATATAAAGAGTACCGAGCTCAAAATAAGAAATATAATCTAGCCATTATTATGTTTTCATGGCTATATTAATGAGTGAATCACCTTATCAACTCTTGACAGCATCTTCCATCTCCTGGGAAATGGTCATGTCTCTCATTTAGCCTCAGGAGGGACTCAGGTATTTGAGCCAGGGAGCCTAGGAAGAACACAATTCTAGCCTCCAAGGAAGGAAGTTCAACCCTGAGACATCCTGCAGGGACCACCGTCAGTACCTGGTTTCGAGATCAGCGATTTTCTCCACTTTGTTTCCATGAAATAGGTTACCTAGATCTGATACCCACTGGCATAACAGTTTACCTTGCTGCACTGACTTCACTGTGGGCCCATAGATTATCCTTTTTTTTTTGGCCACATTAAGTGGCTTGTAGGATCTTAGTTCTCCAACCAGGGATTGAGCCCCGGGCCCTTGGAAGTAAAAGTGCGGAGTCCTAAACACTGGACTGCCAGGGAGTTCCTAGATTATCATTGTTTTCAATCCTCAGAGTAATTTCCTTAAAGCCACATCGAAAAACTCCATTCCAAAAGAACACTGCACCTTTTCTCTACCTAGTGAGAAAAACTTGTTTGTTTCCAGAGTCATCTGTGAATGCTTTAAAATAACAGGAAATACATTTATTGGGTAGATATTCTGATGGATACCATGAGGGCTCAGTGACAATAAGGAAAGCATAATTAAAGCAATGGGACTTCCCTGGTGGTCCGGGGAATAAGACTCCGTCTACCAATGCAGGGGACACAGGTTCAAACCCTGGCCCGGGGAAGATCCCATATGCCTCGGAAAAACTGGGCCTGTGTACCACGACTCTGGAGCCTGTGCTTTGAAGCCCAGGAACCACAACTACTGAAGCCCTGGGCCCTAGAGCCTGTGCTCCACAACAAGAGAAGCACTGCAGTGAGAAGCACTTGCATTGCAACGAAGAGAAGCCGCCCCCCTCACCGCGCGCAACTAAAGAAAGCCATGAAAGCCATCTCTGCAGCAATGAAGACCCAGTGTAGCCAATAAATAAATAAAATTTAAAAAAATAATTAAAGCAATGGATGAAGAGAGAGGTCCTTCCACGGTTACCTAAACTGGAGGCTCATTGTCTCCATTAATTAGAGCACAGCACAAATGAGAGCACATGAATGTGTTTGGACCTGGAAGTTTTACCCAAAGGAAAAAAATTCAGATCACACCAGTTTTAGGCACCACTGGGACAAACACCTGCTACGAGCCACAAGAGGGCCAGATGGGAAAATAATTCAAGCACGCAATGACTTGATGGTAGGAGTAGTGGCATGATTTACACAAAAGTTACAACAGATTTAGCTGGGAAGGTTTTTGGCTGAAAGATCTCACTAGACGCCACATAATGCTACAGGTATTTTACCATTAACTCTTCCCTCTCATAAATATATTTTGTAAGGGAAAAGGGAGAGAAAGCTTTAATGTTTTCATATATTCTGTTATCAAAAGTTCTCCAGAATTCAAGTAAGAACTCACAAAGTGACCTTTAACCCTAAGGTATATATAATTCAGGGATAAATATTTGCTGTTCCTTTTTTTTTGTAAATATAATTTGAAACGTAGGCCACAATTTTGATAGATCCTGGGGAGAGGGTCAGCGAGGGGATGGCATGGGATTCTTGGGAGCATCACCACAAATAGCATGACACAATGAATGGCTGGGTTTGGATTTTTACTCCCAGCATGGCACCAGCAAGATCTGAAGCACATCTCCATCTATCTGAGCCTCCATGAAGTATGGATAAGAGCATCTCCCTTCCTTACTGAGATGTACCACAAAGTATTAAAGAGCAGCATTTGGAAGGAAGCAGCTAAGTGCTACAGAAATGTGAAATGAATTATTAGCACATGACCCCACAAGGATAAAGAATGAAAAAGCGAGTCAACTCCTGGCACGTTTGGACCATGTGCCAGGTGTTTGGTGCAGGACAAACATCTGGATGTGTGATTATATATTTTATACTTCTCCCAGCTGTTGGAACATTCTAAATATTAGGGATCAGCAAAAAATTACTCTGAGCATTTGAAAATGGGGACCTGGTGGAAAGATGAGACCATTAACCGGGAGCTAGAATGCTTCCAAGAATGGTAACAGACCAGGCTGAGAAAAACCTTTATGTCACACCTACTTTGTGTTCTGGTCCAAAGGCTCCAAATCAGAAAGATGCTTCATCAGTTCTCTTGAGAGCATCCTCTTACAGCCTTTCTTCTTCTACACTTAGAATTTCCAATTGAATAACTTGGTTATGTACTAGGACAAGGATGTTAGAATACTTTGATGGTTCCAACTGATTTGATGGATGACAATAACTTAATATATGATGGAAGTGTTTCTCGACTCTATAAGAGCCACTGCTTCTCCCCTTTCCCTAAGGAAAAAGGAAACACCAATGCTATTTTGTTCATTTGTAACTGTGTCTAAATTCAAGTCCAGTATTCCTTTTTCTGATGTAGATAACTACTTAGGGTGTGATTTCAGTCAAACATTTTCTTAGTCTCTGTTTACCCCTTCTCTGAAGAGGAAAATTACATTTGCTATTTATCTTTCTGAAAGCATACTGAGATAACTTTCCACAAATGCTTATTATGTACATACAAAATATTTCCTGTGTTCTGATTAAAGTTTAAAATACTCTCTTTTTAATTGGATAGGATGGCTTCAGGTTTGACTGACACTGGACAAAATACTTGGGGAACTGTCTTGGTTTTGCCACAAACATCAAATAGATTAAAAATCTCGAGGACAAACAGTATTTATAGATACTGACAATTCCTTCTTAGCTTGGGGCCATCCTGTACATCACAGTTTGGACAAAACCCTTCTGTAAAGTGCTAGAGATAACAACTCTTAGAGTTAAAAGTACCCAGATTAAGTCCTGAACCACGGCCTGCAGGGGGAATATTTTTTATATGGCCTCTGGAAATACCACCATTTAGATAGAACAGTGATATCAGGGCGAGTTTGGAAAGCACACTGCTGTTACAGAGAAATCTGTTTTCCTGATTCCCGGAGTCTTAACATTTTAAGACCGACATTACTCATCTAGGACTGAGCCATCTGCCCAGGACAATCTTCCATGGCTCTGAGACCAGGAGTAACAGGACGTGATGGGGAGCTGGGACGGAACCAGCCTGCTCCAGGAGATTGAGCCCCAAGGCTCGGAAAGCCAGCAAAGAACTGGACAGACAAGATGGTTCAGTTACAGCCAGTTCTGCTGAGGTCATGGAGTCCTGCCTTGTTTAAATTAGACTTTACGCCATATTTAGTCAACCCTCCTAGAGTTAAAAGTTTAGTGTCTCCGTTGTCTTCAGTTGGCTAAGCCTAACAGCAGGCTGCAAGCCATAACACTCAATTAAACCAAACAGCGCTGGCTGCAGGGTTAGTCAACATGCAGCATTAGGCGCCTGTACCCGGGAACCGTCCTCTCTGACAACGTGAAAGAAAACGGACCCACAATTTGCAGAGCCATCAGGAAAACTGCTGATGCTCCAAGGCTGCAGTGTACGATGGCACTGTTTTTCTCCAAATAAAGCTAAGACGACAGGCAGTTTCTCCAGGGAGAGCCTGTCTGTCTGCATCTAACACAAGCATCTACACCCACCCCCATACCACAGGCCAGTCATCTTTACTATCTTCTTTTTATTTCTTCTTCAATATTTTACTTCTGTTTGCATGAGGTTCATGTTTCTTTGTTTGCTCTCATTAATTTTATCCTTTATCAGTGTAACTTAAACCAGACCGACAATTCCTACCGGAGGAGCACTTAAAAGGGGTCATCCTATTGGGCAGATCCAATAAATAAAGAACATGCAAATGACAGAGGAATAAATTAATCCTAGCTTATTATCCTGTGAACTAGGATTAAGTGTCAAAGTGAGCCTTAGTTTTGGCATTCTCCCTTTCCAGTGATCATACACTGACAAGCTTTATAAATAATTTTGCTGTAGTAAGTGGCTCTGCAAACCCCTTGCTATTAGTGACAGCTCAGGTCACAGCCACCCCCGAAGCTTCCCATTAGCTGCCTCTCAGTATGAGTTTGCATGTTGGGATGGTTCCTGCTGCCCAGAAGCCTGTCTGATGTTAATTACCCCATCAGTTCCCCTCTACTCTCCCTTCACTCACCTTGGGGATGCTGAGGCGTTCCTGGGGAGGAGGATGATACCGTGGGAACCTCCTGCGAGTCTAGAGACGAAGGGCTACGACCCAGGGGGGCGGGGGAGGCGGGGGCTGCCGGTGAGGTCAGGTCCAAGGAGAGGTCAGCTCTGCCCCGGCTCGCACTCCGGCTTCTCAGTTCCTTCTCATGCGCCTCAGCTGCCAACTGCTCCAAGTATTTGTATCTGAAAGTTAAATTCCAAAGGGTTTCCGTAAAAAGAAAGAGGAGCCCGTGGCTGGTGCTTGTTTATGGATGAAACACCTGCAGAGTGAGCTGGTTTCCTGATGCACACAGCACAGCGCAGGGCTGGCTGGAGGGCCCGTCTGCCAAAAACACCCAGCAAAGCCAAGATGCTAATGATTAAAAATCCTGCATCATTCATAACCAAACAAATTGGGGGAAGTGGTAACATCACAGTCTCCAGATACCAGATCACTGCTGCAGAATCCTAGTTTGCTCTTTTAGGAAACATTTGTGCAAACAAGCCAAATAGCAGTAATGACCATCAAAAAGCCCCAACAGTGACAGCTGAAAACCACACGCCCTCAGAGCTCACAGCTGTGAAATGGGAGGGTGCCCTGGTGCAGCAGAGAGGAACAATGCCCCAAAATACCAAAAGGTTGTTGGATGAAGCCCTCCCTGGATTTCTGAACCTGCTTCAACGCTAAAAGCAATGTGACTGGAATTCACTTTGTTCTCTCGGTGTCGACCATGGAAAGTTTTTTATATTCTAAAATATTTCTGAGTAGGACTCAGACATCCAATAGCTTGGCCCTGACGTCACATATAGTTTATTCATCAAAGTCAGTTTAAAAGAACAAAGATACATCTGTTTTGCATTTCAGGCAGGCAGAACCCACTAACTGTTTATTAAGACCAGCTACCAATCATATTCCTCATAGAGCGCTTTATAGATCAGACCAAAATAACTCTGAAATATGTGCCTCTTCCAGATGTCTGCTAATTTTACCCGCCATTATTTGTTCAGGAATAAATTCATGAACTCAGCTGTAGCAGGTTTTTGACTATCATGTGTGTGTGCATGCTAAGTCGCTTCAGTGGTGTCCAACTCTTTTGCATTCCTATGTATGGACTCTAGCCCACGAGACTCCTCCGTCCACAGGATTCTCCAGGCAAGAATACTGGAGTGGGTTGCCATGCCCAACTTCAGGGAATCTTCCCGACCTAGGGATCGAACCGACGTTTCCGATGTCTCCTGTACTGGCAGGCAGGTTCTTTATCACTAGCGCCACGTGGGAAACCCCTTTTGACTATCATAACCACCACAAAACTTTGCAAATGCTTACTCCAGACCCTCACCCACATCCACCCGAATTCACTGCTTCAGTTACTTCCCAAGGGCAAGCCCCCGGCCCTAGACCCTGTAGCCCCCACCCAAACAGTGCATACACGGCACTCTTACTTCAGCTGGATAAGAAAGGCAGAGCACACAAATTGAACCTTTTAAAAGAATGCCTTTAGAAAGCACACATTTCTTCATCCATCCTCAGGGGGCGTGGCTCCCAGGGCTGCAGTCATCACAGCTCTCCCCGCCAGGCTCCGGACCTGGGACGGGCTCGCACGCGCATCTCCCCCAGGGGGGCCTGTCTTGACCACCACAGCTGGAACTGATCTTGCCCTTGCCTCTGAACTCATGTTGGATATGTAGCCCATTCAACTCAGATGGCATTTTACATTTACTGCCTGGCATATTTAGTCATCTTTTCACATGTGTATGTCTGTTTTCAACAAGCAGATAATAGGACTTTTTGAGAACAGGAAGATTACCATCCTCAGTTCTTTCCCTGGGCGCCGTGCATTCATGGGCTGAAGGGACGCAGGCAAAGAACCCACCAGGAGCAGCCCACCTGTTCTCGTCTCCCTGCGGCCCAGGGTGCCAGAAGGCAGGGCCACCCAATTTCACTTTCTTGGGGAGTGAGTTTACTTTCCTGGTGACTCCCTGGTAAAACACATAAAGTGGATCTGCATTTACAAATGTCTGCCTCATGGTTAACAGGGTGAAACTCGACCCAGAAAGAAAGCTTTAGAAACTCTGGACTTTCCTTGCCAACAACGTCATCTCTCAAAAAGTAGGAAAGGTACCAAAAGGGAGATATTTCTGAAGTTAATGTAGATGGGCCCAAAAAAAACTACCAGGTGGTGGAAGTGACAGGAATGGTGGAAGACAGTGATCTTGAGGGCAAGTGTGGGGCCTGTATTTTATTATAAAAGGTCTGGGGGCAAATGGAAGGCCAGGAAGGCTGGGAGGCCAGGAGGAGATCACATCGCGGGCACAAGTGTCCCCATGTGGAGTCCAAGCCTTCTGCGACAAAGGCAGGGGGCAGGAGGAATCCAGGGCAAACAAGAGGGTCTGGAAATGCCCCAGAGATGGGGATCCTAGAGGAGGGAAGTGATGCTCTAGCAAAATCAGGGAGAGAAGTAACGAAGCCCCACACAGAAGGCTTCAGGCCAGGAGGACAACCTATCACCAGCCTCCATCTCAGCCAGCCGCACCCTGGCCTCTCTGGTCCGCTCCCTGTGGGCAGCCAGGCTGGCAGGTATGTGCTGGCAGCCAAAGGGTTCACCCCATTTTCAGGGGGGACCCCAGGGGTCCAGGGTCTGGGTAGACTTCTCAAAGACTATTCCTGTGCACCTCTCGGCTCACCGACGTCACCCTTCAGGATTCCTGAGATAGGCGGAGGGGAAGAGTCAGGGGTTTAATCAGACTTGTTCCTAGGATATATACATTATACACAAAAACGGCAGGATTAAGGGTTAAGGGGTCAATTCTATAGACAAAGAGTTTTGGAGGCTGGTTGCACAAAAATGTGAATGTATTTAACACTACTGGATTATCCGTTTAAAAACGGTTAAAATAGTAAGTTATATATGTTATGTATACTTTTCCACAATTAGCATTAAAAAATGGCAGAGGTGGGGAGGCCCAAGTGTCAAGAGCCGCTATGTTTCTATGTTTCCATGATGGGCGGAGTGGTGCTGGGCGTGCTCGAGGAGCTCCAGGCTACCCAGCATGGAGACCTTCAAGCTCAGCAACCTCTCCTGCCCCATGGACACCTCCGGCAAAACTTGGGGAGGAAGCTGGACCTCTATCCCGACCTTCCCTGAGACAGTGATCTAAGTGATGCTCGATCCTAGGAGCCCACCAGCCCATTTGATGATGGTCACATCTCGGCTGCCTAGCAATACCACCTCCAATCAACAGACTCTGATGTAGCCTCCTAGGAACAAAGTACTGGGTTTTCTATCAACAGACTATTGAGTTGAGTCCCCCAACTCAAAATACTTTTCATTTTGCCTACCCTCATTGAAACGGTCTCATTATCCTGCCTCTGTCCATATCTAATTCATTAATCTTTTCATTATTTATTAAATATTCTGTTGAGTGCCTGTCATGTGCTAAAAACTAAAAGCACTCAGTTCAGTTGCTTAGTCGTGTCCGACTCTTTGCGACCCCATGGACTGCAGCATGCCAGGCTTCCCTGTCCATCGCAAACTCCCAGGGCTTGCTCAAATCTAAATTATTAAATATCCAGTAGGCACTAGAGATTTAATAATAAATAAGAAAACATGCACCTTTGTGGCACTCATAGTTCAGTGAGAATTAGAGAAACAGACTTTGTGATGAGCTCAATGCCCACCCGGAGAAGGCAATGGCAACCCACTCCAGTACTCTTGCCTGGAAAATCCCATGGACGCAGTCCAGGGGGTCATGAAGAGTTGGACACAACTGAACAACTTCACTTTCACTTTTCCCTTTCATGCACTGCAGAAGGAAATGGCAACCCACTCCAGTGTTCTTGCCTGGAGAATCCCAGGGATGGCGGAGCCTGGTGGGCTGCCGTCTGTGGGCTCGCACAGAGTCAGACACGACTGAAGCGACTTAGCAGCAGCAGCAGCAATGCCCACCAGGGCTGTGGGTGGCAGGCTGGTGTCACTGCCACCCAGGGGGCATAAGCTAGGCTCTTTACACAGGGTCCAACAGAAACCCTGCGTGACTTTTCACTACACCTACTTACTAACGACTCTTCCTGCCACCCAGGTGCTTGAAATTCTCCCTTAAACCAAAACCTGGCTCCCTCTAACTTCTAGTCTGTCCTCAGACCATGTTCAGAATCCGCTCTTACTGCTTCAGGATCACTTTTATGCATAATTTCCCAAATCGTCACCCAGTCCCAGCCGTCCCCTTTGCAGTCTGTGCCCAGAATCTCTGCTTCCCATAAGGCTCCTCCTCGGCAAGTCCTGCCACCTCCCTCAGGCCACTCTCACCCCAACCCTCACCCCACCCAATGATTCCCAGCCTGGATCTCATTCCTTATCACCCCAAAAAAAGAATCATTCGTGAACATCAAGTCAATCAATATCAGAGAAGAGACTTTCTTACACTACTTACAGAAAATTAGAAATAGACCTAACAGAGACTTACTCTGGATCTGCACCATTATCAATAAAACAGCTTACCTAAAATTATGGAATGGGATGACATGAAATTTTAAAATTAAAAATTAAACCAAATTTGTATGCATGGCCATTACCCCTCAAAATAGCAAAATGACATTCATCTCGTTATGCTAGGTGATATGAACCGCAAATCCTCTCTGTTGAGAGTCTGGCTGTCTTTTCTGAGTCGTCACATTAGGGGTAAGAGTCATGGGACCAAATAAACATGCCTGGCTCCACCTTGAAGAGTTAACAGATGGAGTTCTCTTCCATGTCTCTTTCCACCTTTGATCGCCATTAGTTTTCCCATCCCTTTCCAAATTCCATTATAACTTGGAAATCTTATCTTTTCCTGGCTTACCAGGAACTCCCAACTGCTTTCCAATAAGGGATGAAAGTATATCTCCCTCACTTCCATCTTTACCAGGTAATTCAAGCAGCTGACTAACCAGGAAAAGTGGCTGGTCCAAATCAAAGGAAAACACTTGACTGCTTCCCCAAATCTCAGATACAGCCTGTACGCAGGCTGTATGGAAAGAATCCCACGTGGGGCCATGGAGAACCCGCTCCTGCATCAGCTAAGAAGACCCAGGGTGGCGGGTGGTGTGGGGGAGAGAGCAGAGGCCAAAGAGGAGTAGAAGCCTCCTCTGCATGAGTTTTCCAGGTAAGTGATGCTCTACTTCGGGAGAAAGAGTAGTAATTAATAGCAGAAAGAGGCAGGCCTCAGCAATTTGGAAAAAGCTAGATTCCAGTCTAAGCCAGCTCAGACCTTGACACACACAGTCCCTGGTCTTCTCTCCAGGAGCTTTAAAGTCCTGCCTGTACAGACACAACATGACTGCCAAGTTGTCCAAAGGTCAAAAAAGTTCAGAGTCCAGGGGAAAAGCTAAAAAATACAACTTAATTTCTTTTAAGATTTTTTTTTTATGTGGACCATATTTTTTAGTCATTATTGAATTTGTTATAATATTGTTTTTGTTTTATGTTCTGGTCTCTTGGTCATGAGGAATGTGGGATCCTAGCTCCCTGATGAAGGGTCAAACCCATACCTCTTGCGTTGGAAGGCAAAGTCTTAACCACTGGACTGCCAAGGAAGTGCCAAAATTTGGTTTCTTAAACCAGGATATATGTCATGTCCTCCAGTGTAACAAAAAACAAAAAACAGGTACTTACTAGACTTTCTTTGTTTCTTTACCAGCATCTTTCACTATAAATTTGCTGACCACAACTAGTTATCAGGATGGCAATAATCTAATAGAACACTGGAATTAAAGTAATGCCATAGTTTTGTTTATGAGGCTGACGTAAGCATCTAATTTTTAAATTGAACACAGACAGTCTCCACTATTCCCTGTCTCAGACTGTCCTGATCTATTTAGCTGATGGTGTCTAAAAAAAATTAGCACAATTCCACTTTTTATTGGCATAGTTCAGAGACTGATTGGTTCCGGACTGGCTCTGGTATGAACCCAGCCTTTCCAGTCTCTCCAAGCAGTAACCCCCACCTGGTGGTGAAGGGAGTAACTGCAGGCTGGACAGCTGTTCAATTGCACAGTTGGGTCCGACTCTTTTGTGACCCATGGACTGTAGCAAGCCAGGCCTCCCTGTCCCTCACCATCTCCCAAAGTTTGTCCAAGTTCATGTCCATTGCATCAAAGATGCCATCCAGCCACCTCATCCTCTGACACCCTCTTCTCCTTCTGCCCTCAATCTTTCCCAGCATCAGGGACTTTTCCAGTGAACCAGCTGTTTGCATCAGATGACCAACATACTGGAGTTTCAGCTTCAGCATCAGTCCTCCCAATGACTATTCAGGGTTGACTTCCCTTACAATTGACTGGTTTGATTTTACTGCTGTCCAAAGGACTCTCAGGAGTCTTCTCCAGCACCACAGTTCAAAGGCATCAATTCTTTGGCACTCTGCTTTCTTTACGGTCCAGCTCTCACAACTGTACAGCTGGACAGTGCTAGGGTGTAAACTTGCCTGTTGCTGGTCTACTTCCAAAAACAATTTCCTTTGCTTATCTAAGTTTACCAGACACTGACTATATTAACTTGATATGGTTTCAAGGGATCCAAAGTATGTTGCCATTAAAATGAACAAACTGGTTTACAGCTTAAATATTTTAAAGCTGTTGGTTCTTTTGCTCCTTTATTCAACTGTTCATTGTTAGTTAGTTGCTAAGTCATGTCTGACTCTTTGCAACTCCATGGACTATAGCCCACCAGGCTCCTCTGTCTAGGAGCCTGGGATTCTCTAGGCAAGAATACTGATAGGCAAGAATACTGAAGCGGGTTGCCATTTCCTTCTCCATGGGATCTTCCCAACCCAGGGATCAAACCCACGTCTCCTGCATTGCAGGCAGATTCTTTACCGCTGAGCTACCAGGGAAGCCTCATTTATTCAATACATTCTTCCTAAGTGTCTGCTACCTGCAAGCCCCATGGCAGGCACTGGGACGATGAGGAAAATCAGGTATGGTTCCTGCCATCCAGGAACTGAGTATAGTTCAGTAAAGGGATGGCTAAGTGGTCAGGCACCTCCAGGGAGAATCCTGGGGGGTTTAGCACCCTAGCCAGTGCCTGGTATAGTCTGTGGGCTCAAATATTTGTTGAAGAAATGCTGAACAAATGACTTGGAAACACACAGGAGGGACACTTAACTCAGGCTCAACAGTGGTCGTAAAAAGACATTTAATATATATATGCCACATTAAACTGTATGTTTATTTGGAGAAGAGTTTTGGAGGAACAGACACATATATCTCACACCATGATGGCACTAAATAATTAATCTGTGCTTTCTTGGAAAACTGAGTTAACCAGGACACTCTATTCTGCAAAATGCCAGCTCCCCAAGGTCTTAGGTCTCAGGTGAAGCTATTGTATTTTATAACAAAGTCTCCTCTGCATGCTTGGTTAAGAGTGAAAAGTCACATGCCATTTGGTTACAATGGGAAAGAAAAGATATACAAACCTTTCTTCTCTTGCTTGTCTTTGTTCTTCTCTTTTGTCTAAATACTCTCGGCTAATGGAAGTATGCAAAACAAACAAAATGGGGAAGGAAAACAACAAAATCAGAGACTCATAAAAGTGCCAAGAAATTATTAACAGAGTATATCATGAAAGCCTACTATCATCTCAGAAATGCAAAGTGGTTACTGTTAAATTTTTAAAAATAAACATAAAGGCTACACTTTAAAAGTACCAAATTCTTCTATAAAATCACAGAGATGAAAACACGGGATTACTGGATTCACTCAGAACTCTAACTACTCTTCAGAAAGAAGATTTTAAGTATATGGGGAAGGGTGGTGAGACAAAAAGATTTTTAAAAGGTAAACCAATTCATCAATAAGATATGACGATGACAAGCAAGCAATAGTATTCAGAGGTGAGTACCACACAACCAAGCTCTGGTAACTTCCTAACATTCATCTCAAGATTTAAATCTGAGTGGGCCCAAGAGTCTTGGCCATTTTGTACTGCACTCTACAGTTTAGATATTCCTTCCACAGCCCAAGATTCTTCCTCTGAATCCCTCACATGTCAGTTTCTAAGCAGAGATCACTGGAAGCTTTTGTGCATTCTTTCTTGTCTTTATCCATAATATGCCCAAATCTGTCTAATTTTAATGCTTGTTTGTCTGTTCCTCCTGGTGAGGTTCCAAGTTGAATCTAAGTTTAAGGGTGGGTGGTCAGTCCCTTCTCAATAAACTCTTTATTTTTCTGGAGAACTCTGACATCACAGTTTTCTACACTGGACCCCATAAGGTAGCTTAAGTACTCTATCCCTCTGTGCACTGATAATTGGATATAAAGGGATAGTAAGAGCAACTAAACCAGGTTAGGAGGGGGGAGAAAAAGCCACAAAGGCACAAATTTGTTATAATTTATAAACATCCATTCTCATCACTTACCACACTAGAAATAACATTTCCCATAACCCGGGAAAATTAAGATAATATTCAACAAAAATAACAACAGATAAGAATGCTTTGCAAAGAAAACAGCACAAGGAACATGAATAACTTATATCAATGAGGTGGCTGATAAAGAGTCAGCCATATGGCTAATCCCAGGCATGATTCTATAAAGCTTTTCCTATCTCTTTCTTTGAATTTCTTTTCATTCACATCCTCAGATTTTCAGGATAGAATTGAAGTCATCATAATCAGTAGTTCTGTGTGGTCTGTACTGATAATCAGCATTCCTTTCTAGACAGGCTTATTTTGCCAGGATCTCACTATGCTCTTAAATGATGAGTGAGATTGTTTGGTGACCAAGAGAAAATAGTGAACAGTTACTTATGAGCTTGGTCTCTGAAGATGAGGTTGCCCAGGTCTAATTCTTACACTACCAATATACGGGCTGAATACATATTACAATGTACTCTTGTCCTATTCTTCTGGGACTTCAAAGACACAAATGCTAGATGTATTATTTTACAGGTCCATGAGGCACTGTTCTTTTTTTTTCAATATTTCATTTTGTCTTTCAGATTGGATAATTTCTGTTGTTTCATCTTCAAATTCACTCACTTTTCTCTCATTTCTATTCTGCTGCTAAAACCATTCAAAGCCTTTTTTATTTTGGTTATTGCATTTTCTGCTTCTATATGTATTTCCATTTGCTTCTTCTTTATATTTTCCATCTCTTTGCAGAGACTTTTCATTTGTTTCAAAAGTATTTGCCTTTACATCTTAGCACATGTTTATAACAGCTGCTTTAAAGTCTTTGTCTGATAATGACAACATCTATGTCCTTTTGTGGTCAGCATATTTTGATTCTCTTTTGCCTTTGAAGATTTGTTTTCCTGGATTCCTATGACAAATTGTTTTGGATTACATTCTGTATATTTTAAATATTTTGCAATGATACCCTGAGCCTTATTTAAATTCTATGAAGAATCTTGATTGTTTTCCTTTAGCAGGCAATGAAGCAAGTTAGGCTCAGCCTGTAAGCTCTGATTGCCTTCTGATGTTGGTTCCAGTATTAGATCAGTTCTCAAATATATTTAATGCTATTCATATCAGGTCCTTATATGCACCACCCAGTGGCCAGTCTGATACCTAAGTGTGTTACACTCTGAACTTATTTTTCAAAGTTTGTGGTATCCTGTTTAGGTTCTGAGTCACATGTGCACAAACTAGAGATGACCTCTGGATTGCCTTTCCCATCATTTTCTGGACTCCTTAGGTCTCCCTTCTTGGTCCTCTAGGCAAAAAAACTCGGGCTTTACTTTCCCTGCTCTGCTACAGACTTTCAGTACCTTCATCTGCATACAGGGCAATGCAGCAGGAGGAGACACAGAGAAAAGAAGTTTTCTTGCATCACACTCTTCTGAGCATAGGAAGGGTTCCCTCCCTGAGTTTTAGGCACCTGCCTGGACACTAGTGTCATCACTGAGCTTCTGTAACCATATTGCTTGGAGGCTGGGAGAGGTGCAAAGAAAAAAATAAGATTAAACAGGAGACTTCTCAACTCTCCAACCCTCAGGAATTCCTTTTGCTGCTTCTCTTCGGAAGGACTGATGCTGAAGCTCCAGTACTTTGGCCGCCTGATGCGAAGAGTCAACTTACTGGGAAAGATCATGACGCTGGGGAAGATTGAGGGCAGGAGAAGGGGTGACAGAAGATGAGATGTTTGAACGACATCGCCAACTCAACGGATATGAGTTTGAGCAAACTCTGGGTGACAGTGAAGGAGGGAAGCCTGGTGTGCTGCAGTTCGTGGCTGGCAAAGAGTCGGACATGACTTAGTGACTGAACAACAACAACAGTCCAGAGAAAGAGGCGTTCTCTTAGAGTTCTTTCAGTTCACACCTAGTACGTGCTTCCGAGTTTGGGGATGCTTTTGAGTCATGCCATGTGATATTGGAGGGGAAAATGGTGACTTTTCCTGATTTGGGGGGAACTTTGAATGCTAGTCTCCATCTCCAATTCACCCTTTTCCAGTTCAGAGCTTTCAGAGCTCTGTGCTTTAAATCTGTCCATGACTGATGGCTGCCTTGAGTGATGGCATAGAAGAGACAAGAGGAAGCATACTGATTTCATCTTTCCCAGAACTGGTACCTTGTTTTAAGAGCTTTTGAATCAAAATCTTAAATGTGTACGCTAATCTCTGAATTTTCCATGTGTCTCAGTCAGATGCTCTGCTGCTATTTGGTGGTGAAATATGTGGATCTCTCAGAAAGCCCTGAATTATGAAGCATTTAACCTGTTCCAGTGGTTTTGCAAATTGGTCTTTCCAAAAGTGACAACTTCCAGAGCTACCTCATGAGAAATGGTGCATACAGGTCTGGCCTTTCCATGTATCATTTCGTAGAAATCTGACAGCTCAAGATACACCATACAATTATGGTGTGAATTCTCCAAGCCAGGCTTCAGCAATACATGAACCGAGAACTTCCAGATGTTCAAGCTGGTTTTAGAAAAGACAGAGGAGCCAGAGATCAAATTGCCAACATCCGCTGGATCATCGAAAAAGCAAGAAAATTCCAGAAAAACATCTATTTCTGCTTTGTTGACTATGCCAAACCCTTTGACTGTGTGGATTACAATAAACTGTGGAAAATTCTGCAAGAGATAAGAAACCTGTATACAGTTTGGAAGGAAAGTTATGACCAACCTAGACAGCATATTAAAAAGCAGAGACATTACTTTGCCAACAAAGGTCTATCTAGTCAACGCTATGGTTTTTCCTGTAGTCATGTACGGATATGACAGTTGGGACTATAAAGAAAGCTGAGTGCTGAAGAATTGATGCTTTTGATCTGTGGTGTTGGAGAAGACTCTTGAGAGTCCTGTGGACTGCAAGGAGATCCAACCAGTCCATCCTAAAGGAGGTCAGTCCTGGGTGTTCATTGGAAGGACTGATGTTGAAGCTGAAACTCCAATACTCTGGCCACCTATTGCGAAGAGCTGACTCATTTTGAAAAGATCCTGATGCTGGGAAAGATTGGGGGCAGGAGGAGAAGCAGTCGACAGAGGATGAGATGGTTGGATGGCATCACTGACTGGATGCACATGGGTTTGGGTGGACTCTGGGAGTTGGTGATGGACAGGGAGGCCTGGCGTGCTGTGGATCATGGGGTGCAAAGAGTCGGACATAACTGAGCGACTGAACTGAACTGAATGATGTTGCTTTACTTCATGCGGCTTGTTAATCCCCATCTTACAAAAGTCAGGATTAGTTTTTTACCACCAGACTTGGGATGCTTGTTTTCATATAGTAGTGAGTTATGGTTAAGGCAAACTCACAGCTCTGCTCATTTCTATGATTATATATAGGCTTTCCAGGTGGCACTAGTGCTAAAGAACCTGCCTGCCAATGCAGGGAGCATAAGAGATGCAGGTTTGATTCTTGAGTCAGGAAGATCCCCTGGAGGAGGAAATGGCAACCCACTCCAGTATTGTTGCCTAGAAAATCCCACAAACAGAGGAGTCTATACTCTTTCTGGCTGCTGGGGAAAAAAAAAAAAACATTATTGAACTTGTAAATCCTCATTGACAATGCTTTACATCCTTTGTAGATTTCACTGGGAGTAATTGAGTGAAGACTACTTCCCAAAAAAGTAAATGGAGGAAACAGGAAGTGGAGATGGGGGAGAGAGAAGAAGAAAAAAGAGTGTAGAAACTATGGGAGAGATGAATGGGACGATGAAGGAGGGCGGAGGAAGGGGATGAGAAGGCAAGAGGGAAGGAGGGGAAAGACAAGGGAACAAAGGAAGAGTAGGAGGAATGAAAGGTGTAAGAAAGATGAACCAAGTGTTCAGCGTTTTAAAAAGAACTCCACAGCATGAGCCCAGGCCAGAGGAGTGTTAGGATGTTGATCAGGAGGATGGGGGGAAAGGCTGATCTGACTCAAGGGGAAAAGGAGAGATCCTGGATTCAGCAGAGCAGACAGGCCAAGACACAGAAGCTGGAGTGGGCCACCCAAGAACACATCTTTAGAGCTGGACAGAGACCAAAGGGACCAGCAGGGACAATGGCCTGGGACTAATCAATACAATGCCTTCTTCTCCCCCATAGGAGGAAATACTACTGCCTAAAAAAATATGAAATATTGCTACAAGGAGTAAGAAACCAGAAAGTGGAAAAGCATTTTCTTTTAGGTGTCCAATAGAATATGAATAAAACATGAGTAGCTTCAAGGGAAAATGTCAAATTAAGCCAATTAGGTCCTCTGCCTTCAGGAAGGCCTGGATAAAACCATTTTAGATAATGAAGGCCCAAGAACACACAAGCCTTAATTGAATCAGGATGGCTGGCTCTGCTTCCTGCCATAGGTTAAAGGAAGACAGGCCACAACAAACCAGATCAAGCCTGTTTCAGGCTTGCTCTTCTTGAAAACAGAGGCAGCATCAGAAGCAAGCATATTAATCCCTAATCCTTTAATACCAGTATTAACCATATGCAACACTGAAGGCATGTGCTTTAATTTTCATTTCATGAAAAATTTTTTTAAATTCATCTTACCTGAATTTGTTTCTTTCCTCTCGTTCTATTCTCTGCAACCTTTCCTCTCTCTCCTGTCGCCGCCTCTCTCTCTCTGCTGCCAAGGACTCTTGGTGCTGCCTAAAGGATGACGTGAGAAGACCACTCAGTGATGACCTAAAGATACAATGAGTCAATGTTTGAGTGGCTCATCCAGTGATTAAAAGTACTGATGCGGGAATCAGTCAGCCTTGGTTAGAACTGAGGGTCTGCCAGTACCTAGGTAATGGATGGGGGAAATTACTGAGTGTCTCAGGTCTTCTGTTTCAAGATCATCATCTGTAAATGCAGATAAGTAACTTGCTTTATGTACTCAGAGGACAAAAAGGCGATAATGCATATAAAATACCAAGCAGCAGGCTTGGCATATAAGCAGTCATCAATAATGAGTGCTATTATTATCAAAAAGTATTCCAGGAATATGCTTAAAATATAAATATAAATGCTCTCTCTCCATACACACACGTGCATTTTAAAATTGGTTTCTGATAAGACTCTGATGACCTGGAAGAAAAATTCAGCCTGAAACTGTTTTCTCCTTTACATGTACTAAAGATATTTTGCCATACACCAGTTTCTCAATATACTTCCCCAAATAATTGTATCATCTTAAAACAAGGTATTGGGATGACAGATAAGGAGAAAAAAAATGTCAATGTTCTGAAATCTGAATGGAATTAAGGAAATTTCATCCCATATCAAGAAGTGTCCATGAACAAGCAGCTTGCTCAAAGGACAGCACTTGATTATTGATGATACCACAAAAATAATCTGGACTGTTCACTGAAGATGCTGTGATGGGGATGGTCAGCTATGTGAGGGCCTTAGTGAAGAAACAGAGGAGAACCACAGAAAATGTTAAGCTAGGAGAACGGGTGGAAGAAGGCAAAATTAGGTAACTAGATTAAAAATAAAGAAGGTTAGCTGGGAAGGAGAGTCTGTTGGACCTCTGGGGAATAATAAAATCTGTTACAGACAACTGGACCTTTGTTTATTGGGAAAACATCTAAACTAAGACACAAATGTTTCTGATATATAGCTTGGGTGATAGCCTACTTGAATTTGATGAATATGCCTGCCTCGTGGGGAACACAAGGTCCCTCAGCACAGGAGAAAGATGTGACTATTGCAGCACACACATTCTGCCATAAGTCCTACAGCTGTTTTCCCTAGAAAAGGTGAGTCACCTCTGGCAATCCATCAGAGGTGGGAGGAGAAATAGAGGGAAGAAACCGTCATCCCCAGTTGCTACGGACAGGGAGTAACCAAACCCTCTGTAAGCAGCTTTCAGCAGGAGAAAGCTCTCTGCAGGAAGCCCCGTTTGTTTTGTCACTTGAGCAAAACTATATTATAACTAACTTTAAACCAGGCACCCCAAGCTCTACTCATCTCTGGCCCAAGTACACCTTTCAAACCTTTTGATCACACAGTATCTTGCTTCCTGTTGGTTTCTTCTTTATTTATTTTTTTATTTTTTTTCATCCATTCACTATGATTCTTTTTTTTCCATTTATTTTTATTAGTTGGAGGCTAATTACTTTACAACATTGCAGTGGTTTTTGTCATACATTGAAATGAATTAGCCATGGATTTACATGTATTCCCCATCCC